AAGGTAAGAAGGATAAATTGAATACCAAAATCATGCATTATGAAAAATAAAATCAAAATCTGTAATTACCAATGAGTTACGACATACTCTAAATTTCCTTCCGGTGTTAAATTTTCTATTAGGGGTACGGATTTGTGTAGGGGATAAACAAATCATAGTCTATTCAATTATCTACTCTATAGTTGCTTGAACTAGTCAAAATCCTTGAGCCAGTCGACATCCTCCTTCTTCTTCAAGGGAAAAATCAAATAACTTCCTTCTTCTTCTAGGAAAAATTTGAGTCATTTAATATTTTGTTTAAATGTTCTTTTATGAACGTTGAGTAGGCCATGTAGGATTCCATGCAATTGTTATATATGTCAAATATTCTTCTATGTCACCAAAACATGTAGAATGCGGTCTCAAGGACTTAATGTATATAATAAGATAAAGTATACATGCTTATTTAACCCAAAAAAAACATGAAGGTCTACATATATAAAAAATGAGATCTTACGCGTATAGGTCATTTTCCTTAAAAGAAGTACATTGTTTCTGTTAGAGGGAGTTTTAATACTTTTTCATATTCAACTTTTAACAAAATCTATAATTATAAAACAAAAAAAGAAAAAAGCCAACAATACGAGTTTAATAGTTTTATTAAAATAATTTCTTTAAATTCAAAAAGCTACTTGAATGTTCTAAAAATTTACAAATAATTATATAAAACAAGTTCATACATATAAAATTTAGACTTTTAACTAGTTTTGCAAAAAATATCCTATGGGTGATAGGTCCTACCAATTTTCACCATAAAGTATGATGGATTGTAGATTTACTTATTTTATGGTAAATTATATGAATAGTTCTTACGATTTTGGGTAGCATCCATGTTTAGTCTCCTAACTATTTTTTTTTTTTTTTTTTTAAATCAGATTGTCCTTGTAATTTAGTTGTTGCAAATTTCGTCTCTACCACACCTACATTGAGTATATTACCCTTATGTATTTTAACTTTTAATTATATATAATTTCTTATCATTTAAAATTTTAACGAAAAGAAAAGAAATCAAGCTCCCCCTTCATGTTTAATTCTCTCTCTCTCTCTCCTTCTCTCTCTCTCTTTCTGTGTGTGTATATATATATATATATATATAACCCTTATGCATTTTAACATTTAATTTATATATAATTTCTTATCATTTAAAAAGTTAACAAAAAATGTAAAGAAATCAGGCTCCCCCTTCACGTTTAATTCTCTCTCTCTCTCTCTCTCTCTCTCTCTCTCTCTCTCTCGCTCGACAACCACATTTGACATCTACCACTATTTCACACCGATGACCATGACAGCCAACAATTCGAGATCAAGAACCCCCAACGAGCATAAACTCCTCCTAAAACCAGTGATTTCTAAAATCCCAAACGCCGCCCTTGATCTACCCTCATCTGAAACCTTCGAGTTTTGTAAACCCATGATCCAACAATCAACCCATAGATTTCTTAGTTTCCTTCATTGTTTCCGACGAAGATCTTGCTCTCTCTCACTCTCTCTCTCTCTCTCTCTCTCTCTCTCTTCTCTCTCTCTCTCTCTCTCTCTCTCGGAGTATAGAGAGAATCCAAAATCCAATACGCATGTTTGTCTCTCTGATTCACATTTTAGATGGACGGAGTCGATGAATCACCTTTTTAGAATGCTTCCTTAATTAAAAGCTTCTCATGTATCTATATTTTTGTATATTGATTTGGTTTTTCTATATATCGATCTTATTTTTTTATATAGTTAATCTGTTTTTTGTGTAGCAACGATTGTATATGATTTTTCTATATTGCCTATGGTTTCGTTGTTCATGATTTTTCAGTAAGATGAAGAGTGATGGATTGTAGGTAAGATGAAGAAGTTCCTTTAGTTAACATAAAGACCATTCCATATGGGTTTCATAGACAAGATGCCGACAAACTAGTAGGTATGGGAGGCATAAAGGTGAGGCGGTGTCGAACTTAGACCGGTGCCACTGGAATCTATGTGTAGTAGGATGTGGGATGTGGGATGTGGGACAATTGACCCACTTATTTTATAAATTATTGAAGTTCATTCGTAAAATTATTAAATCATGAAAAAAAATAAGGAAATAGATAAAGATAATACATTAATATGATCATTTTAATTAAATCAATGACTAAAAATCAAACAAAATAACACATAGGACCAGCAAATAACTAAATAGCTGTATGTTAGGAGCCAAACACACAGGATGCCCGAAACTATAGGGATCATTTATGTAATTTACCATTTAATTTATTTTTCATATGTTTGTTTTTGCTATCTGTTCACCAAACAAAATATATACCTACGGGTGTAAACGGGTTGAGCTGAGCCCGAGCCTGACCAAGCTCGAGTTCCGCTCGTTTAATTTTTAGGAAGCTCGAGCTTGATTCGATCCTTAAAATGAAGCTCGATTTTGGCTCATGAACAATTTAGTGGGCTCGTGAGCCTAATCGAGCCACTCTCTCTCTCTCTCTGTCTCTCTCCCTCTCTGTGTATATATAGAGGCTCGTTTAAGCTCGTTTACGCTCACGAGCGCATTAATTGAAACTCGCCTCGAGCTCATTTAATAAATGAGCCTCATATTTAGGATCGAGCACGGCTCATGCTCGATTAATTAAATCTCGAGTTGAGCTTTTAATGAGTCGATTCGAGTAGTTTACTATATATATATATATATATATATATATATATATATATATATATATATATATATATATATATATATATATATATATATATATATATATATATATATATATAGTAGCAGTGTACCCGCGCAAAGCGGCGGGGCGTGTAAATTCTTTCGGTGATATGTTTCCTTTACAAAAATGTTATGTTACAAAAGAAAGTACATGTTGAAGACCAAATAATCAAATTATGGTGTTATTTGTTACACGATACATCAAATAACCGATAAAAACAAACTGGTCAAGACGACATAAAATATGAAATGCTTAAGCCATTCAAACAAAAATAAAGAATTATAAGAATACACAAAATATGAAAATTTGTAATAACACATGACTAATTATATATTATTAATCGTGCAATACTTCTTTATACACTACATTTGATGTATAAACTTCATCACCTTTTAAATTTCCGTTAGGCTTCACTAATACTTTTGTGTCCCTAGCAAAACCAATATTATGTAAAAAAAAACTTAAAGTTTGTCTTCTTTATGATTTTATTACTAACTTTGGACTTTTATGCTATAAATTTGGATATGACGGCTAGTTTTTTTTTCACTATCGTCGATTAGTTTCAATAGATGATTAGCTTTCTTTCCGCAGACATCAAATATATTTATTTTAGTGAACACTTTCCTTTTGGCAATGATTATCTCCCTTATTTTTAATATGAATGTCACCCATTGGTCATTTTTTCTTCTAGATTTTGAGCTTCGTAATAACATCCTCAATTCGAAAAATGATACAATAAACATGAAAATGAAAAAGATCAAACGTAGATCTTTCCACAAAATTGAACCTCAATGTTTAGAAAATCGAAGTCGGTCAAAAACTAAGTATCTATTTAAAATATTTCAAAATTGCAATAAAGATTGTACATAAATGTATAGTCTAGAAATATACCTAAATATGTTGGAAACCATGGTGCTGGGTAGTTGAAGGCATAACCATGAAAACAAGAAAAGTGTGTATCGATCAGGCCGACATTTGGGAATGGTTGGGTTTGACTGGAAACGACGGTGTAAAGACGATCAAAAAATGTCATGGCCGTGGTGGACGGCGTCACATATGACAAATCAAAACTCTAAATGCCAGTTGAGAGAAAAAAGATAGAGAATGAGAAGAGGGAGACCTTCCAAAAGTAATTTAGGGTTCATGTGGTGAAGTTGTTTTTGGAAGCAAAGACACCAGAAATCGGTGTCATAGAACCGGTGGTTGGGGATGGTGGAAGATGGGAGATGAAGTCATTTTCTGTTCCTGGACGGTGGACTTTATAGCATGGGAGGGAACAAAGAGTTATATGCGACGGGAGAGATTTTTGAATCAACATGCTAACTTTAAAAATATATAAAAGGTTCAAAATTTGAATGAATCCGGGATTTGAAGGACTCATATCAAATTGCTGAGAAATATATAAGGAGATTTGATGAGAAATATTTGAATTCAAAACGTGGTTAAATTTTAATATTATTTTGCTAATTGTTACTTGTACTATCTGATTCATCATTTGAACGTTTTAAAAAATATTATTATTATAATCAATCTATTTTTAGAAATAGTTAGATTTTTTTCATAAATATATAACGAAAAAATGGAATTAAGCATTTGACAATGAACTTTTATGAATTAAATACAACTATAATACTTCATTATGCAACAACATTAAGAAGATATTAAGTTGTTCAATAAGATACCCACTTTCAAACGGGAATGAAAATCAATCATGTTCAACATTTGCTGTCAAGATCATTCTAATACATATTCGAGGTTAAACGTGGGGCCAAAAGTACCTCAAGTGCAGTAGCTTTACTGATAGTCAGTCCGAAAGTTTCACTCATATCAATAGGTTCATTTGATGGATTTTTTAGCACAAATTGTTGAATGAAACTGGCTAGTGTTAAACCAACAGCCTGAATGGCGAAGGGAATACCAGGGCACATTCTTCTACCACTACCAAAAGGTAGAAACGCATAATGTTTTCCCTTGAAATCAGTATCCTTATGACTTGTCAAGAATCTCTCCGGCCTAAACTTGAGGGGATCTGACCAAATATTTGGATCACGATGCATCTTATAAACATTTACCACCAGACGAGTGCCTTTTGGGATGTTGTAGCCACCCACAATGAAGTCCTCAATGGATTGATGAGCAGCAGAGAGAGGAGCAGCTGGGTACAAACGCAATGTTTCTTTGATGATTGCGTCAAGATACACTAAGTTTTTCAAGTCGGACTCCTCCACTAGTCTGTCCCTTCCAACATGCTCATCAATTTCATTTTGCGCAATTTCATTTCACTACCAGGAGTTGCTGCAAAATGGATATAACTATAAGCAAAAATGCTGAAAAAATGAAAATGAACGAAATAACAGTGAGATAATTTAATTGAGTTTGAGTTTACTTGACACGCGGATTTAATAATTGTATCATGGTCAAAACCAGGGAATTCGTCTTCAGAAGCACTTTGATGAATGGAAATTAGCACATCTATAAAGACTTGATGGTTGCTTTCATGTTGTTCGGCAGACTTCTTTATTAGTTTATCTTCTTTTAACCATGCACCAAAGATGTTGTCCAAATCTATTGCCATCTTCTTCATTGCTTTAATGTGTCCACCAACATCCAAAAACTTGAGATAAGGGATAAAATCTGAAACAACAAATGCTCCCATTAACTCAAAGAATTTCTTTACTACAATCTGAAATGTAACCCCTTCCTCATCATGTGGCGAAAACCTCTTCCCCGTAATAATCCTAACCATAATGTTTACAACCAATTTACCAAACACTTGACTCATCTCCACCTTCATCATCTCTGAGTTTTCGCTCATTTTATTTAAAACCCAACGATCATATATATCTTTGATGTATACTCTAAGTTCTGAAGCTCGAATATGTCCAAAGCTCTCAACTCGACGTTGGGAAAGAACCTCCAGCGTCACCATCTTGCGTGCTTGTCGCCAATAGTCTCCATATGTAGCAAAGCCGAACATAGCATAATTATAGCCCATGAGTTTTGTTGCCTCAGCTTTGGGTCGAGTTGCAAAGGCCTTATCGTTTGTAGTAAAGCACTCCTTAGCTATCGCCCCATTACTTACCACCAAAGCTTGGTGATAACCAAGCTTGATTGTGAAGATAGGGCCATATCTGTCTGCCATGTCACCTAAAACATAGTGAGGTAGCTGAGAACCACCTAAAAGGTGCAGGTGTCCGATTATAGGCCATGCACCTTCTGCTTGTGGTGGTTTTCGGTTCTTCCCTCTATTTGCCTTCTTCCTGTTGAGGGTATGGAGAAGGAAAACTACTACAATAAGAGAAAAGCTGGTTGCTACAATATTTGAAAACGAGAGATGGAATTCCATGTATAATTTGTGGGTCGAGAACTAAATAAGTGCACTCTGTACATGTGTGTAACAATGTGATTGAGTGTGTTATATGTATAAAATTTGGAAAACATAAAAAGTTGAGGAAATTATATTGTATAATCCAATTGCAAATATAGAAAATAGTTGAGGATATTGTCTGTGTGATCGAGATAACACATTATTTCAAGGATTTTAAAATTAAGTTTTTATAATATATTAAATTGAAAATAAATAGGTATTTATTATGAGCTAGATTTTTTTATTTTATATTTTAAAAAAGTTGAAATAATTTATATGATTTTATACTTGAATTTCTATTATAAAGTTTCTACGTAATCAAAAAGTGCCTAAGGATTAACCGAAACTAAGCACATACTAGCCGAATAAGACACATTGGCCTAGATATACATGCGGCCAACTGAAAAACAGGTATACACATCAAATAAACTAGGATGAAACATTGGATTCGGTGGATGATTCGGCATCCTTTATTAATTGTGTATATAACGGTAGCCCTTCCTAAATAGTTTTTGAGTACGCTAGGAAAAAAAGAAGAAATGATAGAGCGAAATGGGTTGATTGCCCAAAGGGCTATCTGATCTGATCATGGGGGGATAGCACAAGGGCTTAAGGCATTGGTTTGCTAAATCGACATACAAGAAGATTGCGTCATGCATGGGTTCGAATCCCATTTCTTCGAGTCTTTTCCTACTGAACACTTTCCTGCTCAAGATAGGGTACTAGAAAGGGATCATGCGAAGGCTATGTTGAAAAAGTGGCTTAGTTTTTTTAATTAAAATGTATTTCTTATGAATTAGATTCTTTTATTCTATATCTAAAAAAGTCAAAGTAATTTATATGTTTTTATTTTTGAATTTCTTTTAAAATTTAAAAAAGTGGGCTTAGTTTAATTAACAAAACAATTGGAGTATTATATACATATATATATATATATATATATATATATATATATATATATATATATATATATATATATATATATATATATATATATATATATATAGTTTAAAGCAGTCCATATACCTATAGTTGTTCATATTTTTACCTCACCATTTACTCTATGTTTATATTTCTGGTCCTTATTTTTTTATTCTTTCATTCTGGGTTCCATGTGGACCGCATATAAAGGCCAAGAAGAATGGTCTTGATGTGCTTGATTCCACGGCCAATCTAAACCAATAAAGATAGGATTGATGTCGACAATGCTTAAGTTGAATATATTGTGTTTGTGAACCAGGTAACACATTATTTCAAGGATTTTAATCTTGAGTTTTTACAATATATTAGATTGAAAATAAAAACGTATTTATTATGAACTAGATTCTTTTATTCTATATTTAAAAAAGTTGAAATAATATATTTGCTTTTATATTTGAATTTCTATTATAATTTGAAAAAGTGGGCTTAGTTTTTTTAATTAAAACACATTTATTATGAACTAGATTCTTTTATTATTCTTATAATCATGTGAATTTTCAAAACAAAATTTTAATTTTTTAAAAATATGTACCATAAAAATCCAACGTATGATAATCATAATAGAAAACATATCAAATTCCAAGATCTAAAATAAATCTTTCGTCAGAGTGTATAGATCACGCCGACGCCTTCCCATTGTCCTCGCTAGTACCTGAAACACATAACACAACAACTGTAAGCATAATTGTTTAGTGAGTTCCCCAAGATACCAGTTACATGCATACGCCCTTGCAAGCCATGACCTTCCGGTCCACGTGTCTCAGGGGACTTCCGTCCCAGCCCGATAAACCTTCCAGTCCTACCCGCGTTGACCTTCCGGTCCACATCACAACGCCTTCCGGCCTATAACATAATGCCTTCCGGCCCATAACATAATGTCTTCTGGCTCCTATCAAGCATAGCATACATAGCACATACAAACGGTTAACTTAATCACATATAATGCATACATCTCATAACATATCCGACCTTCCTGCCACACATAGATACCCTTCCAGGTACAGTATAGTGAGAAGACTCACCTCTGATATCTCGGTAAATCACTGACTCGTTAGGAATGCGGTCTAGCCTCCACCTAAACACACAAAGAAAATATTCCCATAAATATAATTTTAATTTAACCTTTCTTAACATTCTCAGAAGGGTAAAAGACCTTTTTACCCCTCTTCTAACTCAAAGGCCTCGCTGCTGACCCAACCCTAAAAATCAACCAAAGTCAACGGTCAAACTTTGACCCGACTTAGCGAGTGAACTTGGGCAAATTGGTGAGTCCACCTGTCTCCACTTAACTCCTTAGACCCATTTAACATGTTGAGTCCCTCCCTTTACTCGACGAGTTCCCAGGCATGAATCGCGGGGCTACCTTGACTCAACTCGCCGAGTCCTAAGAACAACTCGGCGAGTACATGCCATGCACAAATTCTTTTGACCTTCTGAGATCAGATCTGTTCCTCAAATCCATAGATCTGACCTTCCCAATCAATATAATCACGTAAAGCTCAAAACTTGATGCGTATATATATACAAAATGGCATCAAATGGTGATTTAGTCCCAAAAATGGCAACCTAAGTCTAATCACCCCACAAGGACCTATAAAGCGTACTGGAATGAAGTCTCTGAACCTCTTTGAGTCAAGATCCAAAGCATAGACTCGATAAGGAACCAATTGCTCCACCAAAACATCCGCACAAGAGGTTAGAAAACCCTAATCTCTAAGTTCAATACTAAAAATAAAGAGGGTCTGAATAAATACCTCAAGCTGGACTCTCTGGACTCTGAAACCACTTGAATCACACCTCCCTCACCCTCCTCTTGCTCTTGATCACCTTCTTTTTGCCAAGCCAAGGATAGAAAGATCAACTAAGGGTGCTCTCAAGAGACTGGTAGCCGAAATAGGAGGCTAAGAGTACCTTTAAATAGGCTCTAACCCCGGAGGATTAGGGTTTCATTAAATAGTGTGGACTCGCCGAGTCGACTCATGGACTCGCCGAGTCCGATGCGAACCCGGATGAACAATCACGACCGTACTTAGCGAGTCTACGCATCAACTCGCCGAGTTCCTTCACATAATTCAAAAAAAATAAATATTAAATAATATACCTGGGATTCCGGATGTTACATTTCTCCCCCACTAGAATCAGACTTCATCCTCGAAGTATCATTCTACAAACAATTAAGGATGCTACTCACGCATCTCGCGCTCCGTCTCCCAAGTCAGCTCTGACCCTTTCCTGTACTGCCACTACACTTTCACCAAAGGCACTTCCTTGTTCCTCAGAGCCTTAACCTTTCGATCCATAATTGCCACCGGTCTCTCCACATAGTTCAGGCCTGCATCCACCTGAATATCCTCTAATGGTACCACTGCCGACTCGTCAGCTATACTCTTCCTCAATTGCGACACATGAAAAGTTTCGTGAATCTGCCCCAACTCCGCAAGTAGATCCAAACGGCAAGCTACCCTACCTACCCTCACGATTACACTGAAAGGTCCAATATATCGAGGCCCTAACTTTCCCCTCTTCCTGAAGCGGATCACTCCTTTCCAAGGAGAGACCTTTTAGAGTACGAGGTCACCAACCAGAAACTCGAGCTCGGGTCGATGCCTGTCCGCATAACTCTTCTTGTGACTCTGAGCGATCAACAATCTCTGCCTGACCTTCTGTATCTACTCTATCGTCTGAAGCACGATCTCCGTACTACACATTACACGTTGCCCTACTTCTCCGCAACATATGGGGGTCCCACACCTCCTCCCATACAATAGCTCAAAGGGTGGCATACCAATGCTCGAATGATGGCTGTTGTTGTACGAAAACTCTGCCAAGGGTAAATATGTGTTCCAACTTCCGCCAAAATCCAAAACACATGCTCGGAGCATATCCTCGAGTGTGTGAATCATCCGCTAACTCTACCCATCCGTCTGTGGGTGGTATGCGGTACTTAAATACAACCTCGTACCCAACTCCTCGTGAAACTTCTTCCAAAATATGGAAGTAAATCGTGCGTCTTGATCTGAAACAATCGACATCGGAACCCCATGCCGCGATACCACCTCCCTCACCTACAACTCTGCCAATCTCTCAGCAAAAGAGCTCTCACTGATAGCAAGAAAATGAGCGCTCTTCGTCAGCATATGCACAATCACCCAAATTGTATTGACTCCCCTGGCAGTCCTTGGCAATTTGGTGATAAAATCCATGGTAATCTGTTCCCACTTCCACTCGGGAATCTCCAGCGGTTGTAGCTTATCATGCGGATGCTGGTGCTCGGCCTTAACCTGGTGACAAGTTAGGCACCTCTCAACATGCCATGCAACATCCCTTTTCATACAGGGCCACCAATACTCCTTCTTTAGGTCCATATACATCTTAGTGGCCCCGGGATGGCTTGAGAAATTCGATCGATGTGCCTCTTCCATCAAAACGGTACGCGTTCCGCCCACAAACGGTAGCCAAATACGACCCTGAAATATCATAAGTCCCCGACTATCGGTAACGAAGTCCGATACCTGCCCGACAACTCACTCCCTCTTTCGGTTTTCTGGTCACACAGCCTCATCATGTGCCCCTCGGATGTTGTCCAATACCGGAGTCATTATTGTCAACCTCATACAAACGTCTCGAATCAGGGCGCTCTCCGTCCTATGGCTCAAAGCATCGACTACAACATTAGCCTTTCCCGGGTGGTACAAGATATCACAATTATAATCCTTCACCACATCCAACCACCTCCTCTGGCGCATATTCAGGTTGGTCTGATCCATCAAGTACTTCAAACTCTTGTGGTCCGTGCATATGGTACATCGAACCCCATACAGATAGTAACGCCAGATCTTGAGGGAAAACACCACAGCCCCCAACTCCAGATCGTGGGTGGGATATCTCGACTCATGAAGCTTCAGCTGCCTCGACGCATACGCTATCACGTGCCCCCTTTGCATAAGCACTACTCCTAACCCAGATATCGATGCATCACAGTATACCACAAAATCCTC